AAGTCCATCCGTGAAAGCATGAAGGAGAAGGGCGTACTCGAGGAGTTCCTGAGGACCAACGAATACGACCCCGCTCGGAAGTACCACTTCGGCGACTTCAGTACGGCCACCGGCACCAACATCCCCATGGATGTGAGTCCTGATTCTCTTTGGGGTGGCCCTCTTTCTGCTGCCAAAGGCTGACAGCCAGACTGAGTGACAAGCTGCACCCCTCTCCTTGCCCCTCCCACCCTGCCCTGCGGTCTGCTCCCTTCCCTCAGAGCAGCTGAGCCCACAGACACCTTTGCGACTGACTACCCTGGGCAGGCACAGACATAGGGGCAGTGGGTTCTGAACAGGGGGGTGGGAAGACTTGGGCCCCTGCTTGTGGTACAGGCTGGTGGGCAGGAGCAGGTGCTGTCACTGCCCATGAAGTTCCAGGCAAGTTCCCTGGATCCCTTTAGAACTAGCAGCCTGGGGGTGGCGCCTGTGGCTCAGTGAGTAGGGCGCCGACCCCATGTACCAAGGGTGGCGGGTTCAAACCCAGCCTGGCCAAACTGCAACAAAAAATAGCTGGGTGTTGTGGCAGGCGCCTGTAGTCTCAGCTACTCGGGAGGCTGAGACAAGAGAATCACCTAAGCCCAGGAGTTGGAGGTTGCTGTGAGGTGTGATGCCACGCCACTCTACCAAGGGTAATAAAGTGGGACTCTGTCTCTAAAAACAAACAAACAAAACAGAGCTAACAGCCTGTCTGTGGCCCCCCAGGCTTCCTATTTTGGCGAGATCAGCATTGGGACTCCACCCCAGAAATTCATGGTCCTTTTTGACACTGGATCCTCCAACTTGTGGGTACCCTCTGTCTACTGCCAGGATCAGGCCTGCAGTGAGTGCTGGGCTGGACCAGGAGGGGTAGTGGGCAGGGCAGAGTGTGGACACCTCTAGGGAGGGCCACACTTTATGAGGAATTGCTGGGGGAAACTCATTCTTGGGGAGGACAAAGCAGGAACTTATACAGGGTCACAGTCCATGCCCATGGCAGAGGGAAGAGGCTGGTCCTGCAGCTGGGCGCTTTTTACCTTTCCCCCGACCAAGTTATATCTCTGTATTTATGCCAGTCCACCTCACTCTACTCCATTTCACTCCAGTTTGTCGTACTCTACCCCATTCTGTCCATGCCGTGCCACACGAATAATTTCTGCTCCATTCTGTCTCGCTCAATTCTATAATATTATTTTCTACTATATTAAGTTCTCACTGAGCATCTCCAAGAGACATGACAGAATATAGGATGAGGTCATTGTACTGGGGTAGTTTTTGGAGACCAGTAGTGTTCACTTTGCCCTGGTCCCTGCCAAAGCCTTGGGGTTTAGGTCCTGGCCCTTCTGGTCCAAAAGGTCCCTCAATGGCTAGTCCACTCTCATGTTATGTCAGGATTCTATGATCAGTTTCCTGATGAGAAGAAGGTTGAGGCACTTGGGGATGTCTTGGAGGGTTAGGGGAATTCTGAGGCCCATTCACCTCTTATCTGATGAGTGATTAAATTAGTTGGCAACTGATGTGTGCCAAGTGCTCTGCTGAGGGCCAGGGACACAGAGCTAGGGATCTGGGTTCTACGCATCCCTACTCACAGGGAGGCTACAGTCCTGTGGCATCCCAAGATTCTATAAGTTGGAGGGGGCTTTGGAGCCAAGGGTGGCCAGCTGTCATGGGCCTTCCAACACTGACAGCCTTGGTGGATCCCTTTGGCTCGGTGAGGAGGGTTGCTGAGGCTCAGGCTGGGTGAGAGGCAGAAGTGGTAGCCTTACAGGCCTGAGAGCCAGTGGTCCTGTCTTCATTTGCCAGTCTGACTCTCTGTCCCTCTCTCTGCCTGCAGCCAGCCATTCTCGCTTCAACCCCAGTGCATCTTCTACCTACTCCACCAATGGGAAGATGTTTCTCCTGGGTTACGGTAGCGGCAACCTCCTCGGCACGTTTGCCTTGGACACTCTAACTGTAAGTGGGTGCTTCCTTGTCGCTCCAGTGTGGGAATAGAGGTCAGAGCTGTGATCTGTGAGCCAGCAGGGACACTTGCCTGAAGCATGATGGAATGCTACTGCTTGGGTATGCAGGACAAGAAGGCAAGAGAAGCAAGGCTCATTCAGTCACTCCTTGGACAGTCACCATTGGCCATGATGTGTGAGGCACAGGACATCACGATGGATGAGACAGATGTTGTCCTTTTTCTTATTTATTTATTTGAGACAGAGTCTCACTCAGTTGCCCTGGGATTGAGTGCTCTGGCGTCAGAGCTCACAGCAACCACAAACTCTTGGGCTCAAGCAATCCTCTTGGTCTCAGACTCCCAAGTAGCTGGGACCACAGGCAGCTGCTAAAATGCCTGGCTAGTTTCCTTTTTTTAGTGGAGACATGGGTCTTGCTTTGTTCAGGCTGGTCTTGAACTTCTGAGCTCAGGTGATCCAACCACCTCGGCCTCCCAGAGGATTACAGGTATGAGCTACTGAGACTGTTGAAAGGTCTGTGTTGGGTTATTTTTTTTTTTTTGTAATTTTTTTTTCTTAATCAGGCCCAGGTGAGCTATGAACCCATTGGCCATGGTGTGCAGGGCTGGTGCTCTAACCACTTAGCTATCGTGCCCAGCTTATTGTCCTTTTTCTTAAGGAGCTTAAAGCCTGGGGATTTCAGAGGGGTGGGGAAGCATGTGGAACCAGTCAGAGAAGGCTACTTGGAAGACGTAACTCCAGCAAGACCTGCCAAAATTGGAAGGGACAGAATGAGGAAGGGAAGAAGAAGGGAGCCTTGAGGGGTCTCTGGGGAAATCTAGGGCAGGTAGGTGAAATCAGACTTGTCACCTCCCCTCCTTGGTGTGCTCCCATACCCCCAAGATCCAGAGCATCCAGATCCACAACCAGGAGTTTGGCCTCAGCCAGAGTGAGCCCACTGCCAATTTCATCTACGCGGGATTTGATGGCATCTTGGGCATGGGCTACCCCTCCCTATCTGTTGGTGGGGCCACCACAGTCTTGGAGAACATGCTGTATGCGCACCTTCTCAACAGCTCAGTCTTCAGCTTCTACTTCAACAAGTGAGGAACCGCCACCTCCAGCCCCTCCCCTGCAGACCCTGGACAACTGAAGCTCAATGCCTTGGGCTTTGGAGGCCTCCCAACAGACCTGTGGCTCCAGCCATTCCTGTTCCAGGGCTTCTTCACTGCTGGGCATCTGGAGACTCCTTTAACCTTCCCCTGTGTATATCTCTAGCTCATTCTGCCTTTCTGCATTCCTTGGCCTTGGCCTTGGCCTGGACAGAACTCTCTCACCTGGTTATTTTTTTCTTTTTGGGGGGGTTGCAGCCATCATTGTTATTTGGCGGGCCCAGGCTGGATTTGAACCCACCACCTTAGGTGTATGTGGCTGGCGCCTTAGCCACTTGAGCCACAGGCTCTGAGCCAGAACTCTCTCACATAGGGCTGAACTTTGCTCTGAATGTTGCTGCTCTGATTCTTGGCACCTCTTGGATTTGCCTCCTGCCTTGGGCCCCAGCTAGCTCATTTCCTCTGAACGTTTTCTACCTGTATATCTCTTTTGTATAGTAATCTATTGCTTCATTTTCTTTGATCTATTGTTCTAGCCTGGTCCTGGAGTCTTCTGGTCTACATCCAACACTGACTTCTAACAAGCTGTTATCCTGGCCAATGCCAGCCAACACTTAGTAAGCAAGCTAGTGGGTAGGGCTGAGTGGCTTGGGACTAACTTCTTTTTTCCTCTCTTTTTTTTTAGGGACACAGTCTCATTTTGTTGCCCTTGGTAGAGTGCTGTGGTGTCACAGCTCTTGGGCTTAGGCGATTCTTTCTTGCCTCAGCCTCCAGAGTAGCTGGGACTATAGGAGCCAGCCACAATTTTTTTTTTTTTTTTTTACAGTTTTTTTGGCCGGGGCTGGGTATGAATGCCCAGCTATTTTTTGGTTGCAGTTTGGCCAGGGCTGTGTTCAAACCCACCACCCTCGGTATATGGAGCCGGCTCCCTACTCACTGAGCCACAGGCACCTCCCCTTTTTTCCTCTTCTGAATTAGCCAAGCACCTTCTACAGATGGTTAGCATCTGTTCTCTAAAGCTTAAATACCTGAATATGACTTTCAGCAATATCTCCCCCTTACAAATGTTGTTAAGTTAATCTTCCTGTATTTACAATTTGTCTGCATGTAACCTTTAGGAGCTCCACCCAGTTCCACACTCCAGCTACCAGGGGAGGCCTTTGGAACAAACAGAATGTCCTTTCCTTCCTTCCAGCAAGGCCCTCTCTCTAGTCTCAGCACAGTCTCAGCAAAAAAAGTAACAAGCTGGGCCTGGATGGGGCTCCTGGTTCCACTGGTGGCATGAAGTAGAAGGCAGAGAAATGGGGCCATGGGATAGGGTTCCAATAACAAGGGGTTCCTTTGGAGGGACACTGAGACACTGGGAATTCTGAGCCCAGGCAGACAGCTCTGTTCTCAGGGACCTGCAGTCCGGAACCAGGAACGGAGCTATGTTTCTCTGAAGGTGACTGCCGAGCAGGGAAGTCCTTTCCCACAGCTCTCCCTGACTTACCCTTCCTTTTGTCTCTGCAGAACCATGGGCTCTCAGTATGAGGGAATGGTCATCTTTGGGGGTGTGGACGACAGTCTGTATAGGGGAAAGATCGTCTGGTTCCCCGTCTCTCAGAAGTTGTATTGGCAGATCACCATTGATGAGTGAGTTTGGTGGGGTCTTGGGATACGGCACTCCCTTGGCATGGGGGCTTCAAGGCACCCCCTGTCATATACACAACGAAGAATTGCTTACGGGGGTGGTGCAGAGGCTTGCTGCTACAAAGCCACAACTGCCCTCTGCAGGACTGTCAAACCTTTCAGGTCAGCCTGGAGAGGAAGGGAGGGGCTAGGACAACATAGGGAAAGACAGAACTTAGAATCCTGAACAATAGAGACCCTATTATCCAATCCCATCTATAAACACTATAGATGGTTTATAGCAGCAGTTCTTAATCTGTGGGTTGCAACCCACAGGAACTGTATTAAAGGGTCATGGCATTAGGAAGGTTGAGAACCACTGGTTTATAGATTTAAAATGAAGAGTGTGATTACTAATATACTGGAAAGCCTTACAATGAATCAAAAACCCTGGTTTTCAGTGTTTTGGAACCTTCCTTGAAATGTTTTAGGACTAGATCCCATGGCCATTTGGGTGGCCTTGGATAGATTCTAGTATGGTATGATTAGGGGAATAGCTGGATTGCCCTTTGCAGGGTCCTTACTTTCCTCAGTACAGCTTGATTCTGTGGCCACTTGCCTGTCCCTTAATGGTGAGGAGAGCCCATCCTCAGCAGCCCTGAACAGGTATGGTGCTGAAGCTTCCCATCTTTCCCCACTCAGGTTCATCCTTGGCCATGAGTACTCTGGCTTATGTCTTCAGGGCTGCCAGGGCATCGTGGACACAGGCACCTCTCGGCTCACCGTGCCCCAGAATTACCTGAATCATGTTCTGCAGACCTTAGGGGCCAAGGAGGACTCATCTGGACAGGTATGTCTAATGGGAGTGTCCCTTTCTCCAGAGGAGGCCAGCCCAGGGGCTGGGAACATAAGAATAGTCTAACCTGGCCTCCATGCCTCTAGCTACCTAAGAAAGTGGAGGGGGAGGGACCTCAGCCAACCAGGGCTGCAGGAGGGTAAGGGCTTGGAGGTTCAGGCAGGCCAGAGGCTTGTGCTGAGGGAAGATGAAAGGTAACTAGTAGGCAAGAATTTTTTCTGAGTTGCAGTCACTCAGAGAAAACAGATTAAACACTTGTTTGGCTTTAGGTAATAGCAAAATAACTGGAATGTAGGGCTAAATGAGTTACAAGGGCTAACCTGTAATCCACACCTCCCTCACTCCACAGGGCCATACCCCCTTGCCCCTCTTTGTCCTGAGCCCAGCAAAGGATTTGCCTAATTAACCCATTCCCACTAACTTTAGGGGACCAATTTAGTGCTCTTTCTGCAGATCTGTATGTTTTAAAAGGACACTTGCAGAGAAGACAGAGATTCAATCTCATAGGGAAAATTCAGGCAAGAGAAATGTTTCTGGGGTAGTGGAGAGTCTTGGGTCTCCCCGAATTCTATTCTATAGGAGTCCACATGTGCAGTTCTGGCCCTCTCTACACAGGAGTTTTCCTTGGAGCTGCACCCTCCAGTCTAAAAGCAGGCTTGGGGCTCATCCTGGGGCTTACGCCTGGGATCCCAGGGCTAGGATGATGGGGTAGGTGGGTTCTCTCAGGTGGCACCTGGGGACCTGTTTCTTTTTGCAGTATGTTGTGAACTGTGACAAGATCCCATCCCTGCCCATCTTCACTTTCATCATCAACGATGAGCTGTTCCCTCTGCCACCTGCTATATACACCTTAAATGTAAGTCCTGGTCCCTGCAGGCTAAGCCACCATGATTAGGGGTGGGAGGAAAGAGTGTGCCAGAAATGCTCAGCCTCCTTACCTTTTGCCATTTCTTGACTCTTTGCAACACTGATTCATTTTACCAATTCATTAATTCTAAACCCCATTCTTTGGAACAAGGCTATGAAATAGAAAAGTGTCATCTATTATCAATTAATATTAAATAGTGGGGAGAGACACCAGGTTCTTTGCTGAGCCTGTGCAAGACCCTTCATCCCACTTATTTACCACAACATTTGATGAGGAAGCTACTCATTTGTGTTTTATAAATGAAAACTTAGAGGCTCAGAGAGGTTAAGTAACTGACTCAAGGCTACACAGCTAGTTAGGGTAAAAGCTAAGGTTTGAATCCAAGTTCTCCTGGCTGCAAGGAGACCACCATGCTGATCTGCTCCAAACTGATAGCAGAAGGGAGGCCTATGGAAAGAGAAGTTTCTCACCATGGGGAGAAGAGACCCTGCAGAAGACCACTGCAGCCTGAATTTGCCTGTTCAGAAATCCCTCCCATCAGTCCCTGTTCTGGTGGCTCAGTTGGCCTATGAGCCCTCAAGGGCAGAGACCTTGGCTCACTTATTTCTGCATCTGTACTTCTGGCCCAGTGTTCAGGCCTGAGTGGTGCCCAGCTAATGTGTGAGCAAATGAATGAATGCTGACTTTCTGTGTTGAGCAGAACCAGGGCCACTGCACCGTGGGAATTGAGGCTACCTACCTGACGGCTCCGTCCGACCAGCCCCTGTGGATCCTCGGGGATGTTTTCCTTAGGGCCTACTACTCTGTCTACGACATGGCCAACAACATGGTGGGCTTCGCTGCTGCAGTTTAGACTTGCTGCATGGACATGTGGGTTCCCTTCCTTCTCTTGGCCCTGCACCCTGTAGCAGGGTTCTCTCTGTGCGTCCCCTCTGGATTCAGCCTTCCTTTTTTGGACTCTGGACTTTCTCTAATAATAAATAGTTCTTCTTTATGTTGGCTAGCCTGTTTGTTGTTGGAGGGAAGTTGTGGCCGTAAGGTGTTTCTAGTCTCAGGGAAATGGGAGAATGAGAGTCAGGGGCAAATTTGACATTGATGGATGTTCTCCATGAATGATTAGGAGGTTTCTGGGTGGGTCATGGAGATTCTAAGAGAAATGGTCTGTAAAGCATGGTTTAGAATGGGCTCTATACTCTTCAGAGCTTACAGTCATTCATACCTTCCCTTTGCTCCCATCTCTGCCCTTGGAGAGGGAAAACAGTGGAAATAGCATCATGGGGGGATAGGCAAAGGAGCCCTACTCTAACAACCTGAAATGCTCTGCTGATCCAATTTACCAAATTACCACCAGAACCACCCCAGGGATATTGGGACCCATAAACAGGTCCACTAGCAGTGTGATTAATGGTGTGACACACCTCAGATTTAGGCATCCATCCCCTCACCTGCTGATCAAGTTTGGACTAGTAGTTTCTGAGGAATGCTGGATGCCTATGTGTGCTTGTAAAAGTCATAGGATCCTTTGGGAGGGGAGGGCAATATTTCCAGAAAATATTTCCAGGAGGGTTTCAGGAGGCAGGAGCTAAGTTAGGCTGATTGTATTTTTACCCAGATTCTTATGTCCCAGGACCTGTATTTGAAGGAGGGCTGGTCCTCAGCTGTGGACAAGAGGGTTAGCTACTTCAGTCACATACAATCAAGCCCACTTGCTTTAACCAACTCAGCAAAAGGGTCTTGTTCCTCTAGACTTCATCCTTGTCTTTCTTAGGATCCTCCTAGCAAAATATCCAGAAACCTGAGGAAACGTGGCAGTTGGGGGAGGAGGAAGGGAGGGGAGGAAGCAGAGAATGATGTCTCAACACCCTGTTAACTTCCATCAGGGGAAGGTGGTATGAAACGATATCATGTCCAGCAACATGGTGGTGGATAAGAGTTCAAGCTGTTAAGGGAGTATAAAAGGAAAACCCATAATGGGGGGGGGGCAGGCTCCATTCTAGATTTATTTTTTACCCTGTCCTTCTCCAGGCTGAGCACAGCCTTGCCCCTTATGCTCAGGGGGAGGAATAAAAGTGCAAGATACAGTTCCTGCACCCCACTCCAAACCAGGAGGGAAACTAGGGCCACCAGAGGAGTTTCTATGGCAATGGCAGTCACCTGGGAGCCTATATCTTTGCAAGACTGCCAGAAATACAGCCTGCTATAGGCCCCTCCTTGAGGGTCAGACCACAGCATATATAGTAAGCCTTTGTTCGGGACATTACTAACTGGGGGAAGGGAAATTGCAAAGGGGCAGAAGAGGAACAACGATTCCAAGTCAAATGCCAAATCCCTGTAGGCCTTTGCCCGCAGGACTACAACTTCCGGCGTGCCTAGCGGGGGCCACAGCGAAGACTACACTTCCCAGCGTGCTCCGCGGCAGGCCCGTCGGGTGTGGGGCGGGGCTGGGCGCAGGGGGTGCTGCCCTCTGTCGGGCGCGGAGGGAAGTGGTCGCGGAGTGACAGCCGGAGCCCGGGCGCCCGGCGCGGGGCTCGGTGACAGCGGAGGCGGCGGCCGCGGGCGGGACTCAGGGAGCGGCGGCGGCGCCGATAGCTGCGGGAAGGGCGGACGGGGCGGGCCTCCCTGGTGGCGTGGAGTCGGAGCAGCCCGGGAGCGGGTGGCGGGCGCAGCTCGCAGGCCGGGCACCCAAACTTGGGACAAGTTGCTGGAGCCGCGGGGCGCGGGCGGCGGACGGATTGACCTTCAGAGTGAGGTGAGCGGGACCGAGGGGCAAGGGGCGCACGGAGGGCCCGGGACATCAGCCCCAGGTCTCCTGCCCCTATCCCGTGGGTCCCCAACACAGGTGGGTAGGTGGGGGATGCCGGCAGGAGAGGGAGCAGGACCGTGTGCGCCGCCACCCGCCCGATAGTCCATCCAGTCCTGGTCGCCCAGCGCGTGGCCGGAGCGGCGCTGCTAGCCCAGCCGGGGAGCCCCTGCGGCCCCTCCCTTCAGGCCGGGCCGGGGGCGGCTTCTCCGCTACCTTATGTAACCGGGCGGGAGGGGCGGGGGCGGGTATGGGCCTTCCCGGCTGGGGACCTGGGAGTCGAAGGGGCGGGAGGCGTGGGAGTGAACTCGCAAGAAGTTTCAGGGACGCGTGGGTCCTGCGCCCACTCCCTCCGCACAGGACGCTGCTGAGGCGGGTGATGCTGGGGAGGGGGTCGGAGTTAGGGGAGGTATTCAGGGGCCGAGTCCGGCAGGGCCAGACCCAGCCTGGATGGTCCCCGGGAGTGGGAGGGCCGGAGCGGCGCCACGCCCCAGGGGCTGGGCTGCTGGGGGGGCGGGCGGGTGGAAGTACCATCTCTTCCTCCCTTCTCCTCCCTTCCTACAGCTCTGCGTCTGGAAGAAGTTATCCTTACCCCTGTGCCTCTAGTGTCCCTGGGTAGTCTTTTTCACCCCCGGTAACACTAACTCCAGAGCACCCTCCGCGCGCCCGGCTTTCTGCTCCCCCCAGCGCTCCCTGCCGTCGTCCGATCCCTGAGTTTCCCGCTCCCCCTCTCGGTCGGGAATCCCGGAAAACACTTCCCTTCCCCCTAACCCCTGAGTCCGCGCCGCCCACCCGCGGGCTGTCCAGAACCCTCGTCCCTCCCGCTCTCCCAGCCCTCAGCGCTCCTTGGCACCCCCTCCGCGTACTCCATCAGCTACCGGGCCCCGCGTCTACGCGCGCCTCCTCCAAGAGAGCTGGCAGATGCTGGCTGGGTCCCCGCCCTCGGCCCCCTCCCCGCGCGGGGCTCTGGCTTCACGCACGGCTGCTTTGAGCTGCTCCGGGCTGCGCGAGCAGGTTCGCGCCGCAGCCGCCTGGCGCGCCCTAGTCTCGCGCCCCGGGGGAGGAAGGGAGGGCGCCCCGGGCGGGGCTGGTTCCTGCTCTGCTAGGCCCCCGCATTCCGTTCTCCGCCGGCCCACACCGCCGGGGCTTTCGCCGAACCCCTGTCAGCTCTAGCCGCCGTTCTCAACCCTGTCTGTTATGGGAACGGTTCACCGCGTAGTCTCTGGATTAAACTTGAGCGCAGTTCTTGGCTTAGCGCTCGGGGACGAAGTGTAGGTTAATTACAGCCCGGCTCCTACCCTCCCCAAGTGAGGGGGTGCTTTATCTAACAGGGAAGGGGACAAGTCCGATGCAGGTCCCCAGTAACGCCTCTAGGGCGTAGCCTCAGGCCCCTGCACCCACCCCGGCCGAGATTCCACTGGCCCAGACCTGGCATCTTGGGCTATTGGGGGTGAGTTGGGGGACTAGTGGCTGGTTTCCTTTCAGGTGACCAGATGCTGATGTGCTCAGTTCAGAATGCAGTTCTTGGTGCCCTGCCTGGGAGACAGCTCCAGGCCCTCCCTCAAGGGAGCCCACAGTTTGGGCAGAGACAGCCCGCAGTAGTTACTGGCTGGCCTGGAGAGGCAGTGGAAAAGGAATGGAAGTGGAAGGGTCGGCTACCTTAGGAGCTCTGCCCGGTAGTCTGATGGTATGCTCTTACCATGCCTCAGTTTCCCCAGCCCCAGGAAAATTTGCAACTCACTTGGCCCTCTACTTTTTGCCAGCTGCCTGGCTGCTGGGACAGGGAGAGCTGGGAACCTGAGGGTGTAAATGAAGGGCAGGGCTGTTTGGGGTGGCTCCATGCTCCAAGAGCCTGTGTTGCTTAAACAGCTCAGGAGGCGGGTTCCAGCTGCAGTGTTATGCTGTGTTCACCTCAGCTCCGTGAGGTGCAGCCAAGTAAGGACCCAGCTGTCTTGGTTCTGGGTCCCATGGAAGGGGTACAGGGAATGGGGCAGGGGCCAGCTTAGGTAAGCATGGAATCCAGGAAGAGCCATCTGGGCTTTTGAAGGCTTAGTGACTCAGAGGGGGGGCAACGGTTGACCAGGGCAGGCAGGAGCCCATCCAGGGGTCCAGGATAATGGTGGTGTCATTGCCTGCACCCACGGCATCAGGCCTCCTAAGCCTGCTTCTGGGAAGCTGAATAGTAGGTAGGAGGGGACTCCCACCCCTCAGGCCTGTCTGCCCTTTGAGGGTCTGGTTTCTGGCCCTGATCCCTCCTGGGGCTCTGTTTATGGCTATAATTGCATCATTAGCGGAGTTTATAGAGTTACTTAGCACCTGCCCCCACAGGGAGTGGCCCAGCCACCCCCTGGCTCTGTCTCTTCCTTTTCAAAGTCAACTTAGTTTCTGCCAGCAGCAGGGGTTTCCCCAACCACCCAACCACAGCTGTCATGAAAGCCAGGTTGAGCCTTTGTCCTGGGGATGGAGAGCAGTCAGCACTTGGGGCCCTGCTGGGGCTGCCCTGGAGATGACTGTGGAAATTGGGTTGGCCTCCTCTGACCAGAGGGAGGGAGTTCAGGGTACCCAGAGCTGCCAGAAATGTCCACATCACACTCCGCAATGAGCGTGTGTACACACCGTTCTGTGTATATCCTCTTCTGAAAGAGGGAGATCAAAGCGCATACACAAGGCTGTTGTGAGGATTAAGGGAGGAGCAGTTCCTGCTACATGGTGAGTATGTGATGTTGCTCTTTGGGTCAGTGTGGGGTTTGTGTAGTGGGTGTGAGTTTGTATGTGTAGGTGTGAGATTATAGGTATCTAGGTCCGTGTGAATACATGACTTTTGTATATGTGTGTCTATAAGACAATAACAATAATACATTGTTATAGTAATAGAATGTCATCTCTTTATTCTGTACTAGAACAATAGTATAATAAAAATTTATCATGCAGTAGTTGCCAACATTCATTGTGTGTTTACTCTTTAGAGTGAGGTAGGAATTATTGTTTTCATTATACTGATTCAGAGAAGTTAAGCAAGTTGCTTAAAGTCACACAGCCTAGCAGTGTCAGGA